CTTGAGGCCATGAAATCTGAGATGGGATCCATGTATGAGAACAAAGTGTGAACTTTGGTGGAGTTGCCCGATGATCAGCAAGCCATATTGTATAAATGGATCTTCAAGAGGAAGACAGACGTTGATAGTAGTGTTACTATCTACAAAGCTCGACTTGTCGCAAAAAGGTTTTCGACAAGTTCAAAGTGTTGACTACAATGAGATTTTTTTCAACTGTAGCGATGCTTAAGTCTGTCCGAATCATGTTAGCAATTGCCACATTTTATGAAATCTGGCAAATGGATGTCAAAACTGCATTCCTTAATGGTTTTCTTAAAGAAGAGTTGTATATGATGCAACCAGAAGGTTTTGTCAATCCTAAAGGTGCTAACAAAATGTGCAAGCTCCAGCAATCCATCTATGGACTGGTGCAAGCATCTCAGAGTTGGAATATACGCTTTGATAAGTTGACCAAAGCATATAGTTTTATACAGACTTGCGGTGAAGCCTGTATTTACAATAAAGTGAGTGGGAGCACTACCGCCTTTCTGATAAATATATGTGAGTAACATATTGTTGATCAGAAATGATGTAGAATTTTTTTGGAAAGCATAAAGGAGTATTTGAAAGGAGTTCTTTAAAATAAAGACCTCAATAAAGCTACTTACATATTGAGCATCAAGATCTATTGAGATAGATCAAGATGCTTGATAAGTTTTTCAATAAGTACATACCTTGTCAAGATTTTGAAATAGTTCAAAATGGAACAGTCAAAGAAAGAGTTCTTGCCTGTGTTGCAAATGTGTGAAATTGAGTGAGACTCAAATCCCGACCACGGCAGAAAATAGAAAAGAGAATAGAAAGTCATTCCCTATGCCTCAGTCATAGGTTCTATAAATTATGCTATGCTATGTACCAGACCTATTGTATACCTTTCTCTCAATTTGGCAAGGGAGTACAATAGTGATCTAGGAGTAGATCACTAGACATTGGTCAATAGTGAGGACTAAGGAAATATTTCTCGATTATGGAGGTGATAAAAGAGTCCGTCGTAAAGAGTTACATCGGCGCAAGCTTTCACGCCGATCCAGATGACTCTAAGTCTCAATCTGGATACATATTGAAAGTGGGACCAATTAGCTAGAGTAGCTCTGTGCAGAGCATTGTAGACATAGAATATTTGCAAAATACATACGGCTCTGAATGTGCCAGACCTGTTGACTAAGCTTCTCTCACGAGCAAAACATGATCACACCTTAGTACTCTTTGGGTGTTAATCACATAGCGATGTGAACTAGATTATTGACTCTAGTAAACCCTTTGGGTGTTGGTCACATGACGATGTGAACTATGGGTGTTAATCATATACAGATATGAATATTGGTTTTAACTCACATGGCGATGTGAACTAGATTATTGACTCTAGTGCAAGTGGGAGACTGAAGAAAATATGCCCTAGAGGCAATAATAAAGTTATTATTTATTTCCTTATTTCATGATAAATGTTTATTATTCATGCTAGAATTGTATTAACCGGAAACATAATACATGTGTGAATACATAGACAAACATAGTGTCACTAGTATGCCTCTACTTGACTAGCTCGTGAATCAAAGATGGTTAAGTTTCCTAGCCATGGACATGAGTTGTCATTTGATTAACGGGATCACATCATTAGGAGAATGATGTGATTGACTTGGCCCATTCTGTTAGCTTAGCACTTGATCGTTTAGTATGTTGCTATTGCTTTCTTCATGACTTATACATGTTCCTATGACAATGAGATTATGCAACTCCCGTTTACCGAAGGAACACTTTGTGTTCTACCAAACGTCACAACGTAACTGGGTGATTATAAAGGAGCTCTACAGGTGTCTCTGAAGGTACTTGTTGAGTTGGCGTATTTCGAGATTAGGATTTGTTACTCCTATGTCAGAGAGGTATCTCTGGGCCCTCTCGGTAATGCACATCACTATAAGTCTTGCAAGGTATGTAGCTAATGAGTTATTTACGGAATGATGCATTACATAACGAGTAAAGAGACTTCCCGGTAATGAGATTGAACTAGGTATTGGGATACCGACGATCGAATCTCGGGCAAGTAACATACCGATGACAAAGGGAACAACGTATGTTGTTATGCAGTTTGACCGATAAAGATCTTCATAGAATATGTGGGAGCCAATATGAGCATCCAGGTTCCGCTATTGGTTATTGACCGGAAATGTGTTTCGGTCATGTCTACATAGTTCTCGAACCCGTAGGGTCCGCATGCTTAAGGTTTCGATGACAGTTTTATTATGAGTTTATGTGTTTTCATGTACCGAAGGAGTTCGGAGTCCTGGATGAGATCGGGGACATGACGAGGAGTCTCGAAATGGTCGAGACGTAAAGATCGATATATTGGATGACTATATTCGGACATCGGAAAGGTTCCGAGTGATTCGGGTATTTTTCGGAGTACAGGAGAGTTACGGGAATTCGCTGGGGAGTATATGGGCCTTATTGGGCCATACGGAAATAGAGGAGAGAGGCCAAAAGGAAGGAGGCCTGCGCCCTCCCCCCCCCCTCTGGTCCGAATTGGACAAGGGGTGCAGCCCCCTTTTCCTTCTCCCTCTCCTCCTCTTTCCTTCTCTCCTACTCCAACAAGGAAAGGAGGAGTCCTACTCCCGGTGGGAGTAGGACTCCCCCTTTGGCGTGCCCTCCTCCTAGGCCGGTCGCCTCCCCCCTTGCTCCTTTATATACGGGGGCAGGGGGGCACCCCATAGACACAACAATTGATCTCTTGATCTTTTAGCCGTGTGCGGTGCCCCCCTCCATCATAGTCCTTGATAATATTATAGCGGTGCTTAGGCGAAGCCCTGCGACGATAGAACATCAAGATCGTCATCACGCCGTCGTGCTGACGGAACTCTTCCCCGACATTCTACTGGATCGGAGTCCGGGGATCATCATCGAGCTGAACGTGTGCTAGAACTCGGAAGTGCCGTAGTTTTGGTGCTTGATCGGTCGGGCCGTGAAGACGGACGACTACATCAACCGCGTTGTTCTAACGCTTCCGTTTTCGGTCTACGAGGGTACGTGGACAACACTCTCCCCTCTCGTTGCTATGCATCACCATGATCTTGCGTGTGCGTAGGAAAAAAATTTGAAATTACTACGTTCCCCAACATAGATCCACGTCCCGCTCCGGATCATCGTCCGACACCTGTTCATCAAGTAGCTCAAGACGAGCACCACGTCCAATACCTGCAGTATGATTAGGAATTAACACAGGAGCATTTGCAACATCCATAAATTGATCAGGCAAAGGTATGGTAGAGTGAACAGGTGGCATAGGAGTTTCAGAGTTATTCGGAAGTGCACGGAAAGGGAACACAATCTCATCAAAAACGACGTCACGAGAGATGTAGACGCGATTGGTGGGAACGTGCAGGCATTTGTACCTTTTGTGAAGAGAACTATACCAAAAAAAAACACTTTTTAGACCGAAACTCTAACTTATGTTTGTTGTGAGGACGCAAATGGGGCCAACATGCACACACAAACACTTTGAGAAAAAGTGTAATCTGGGATTTCGTTGAGCAAGAGTTCAAGAGGAGTTTTCATATTCAGAAGTCGTGAGGGTAGCCTGTTTATCAAGAAACAAGCGGTGGAGAAAGCATCACTCCAAACCGAAACGGGACGGAGGCATGAGCTAGCAAAGTAAGGCCAGTTTTTACAAGATGACGATGCTTACGTTCAGCGGTTCCATTCTGCTGATGTGTATGAGAACAAGACACACGGTGTGAAATCCCAAGCTTGTTGAAAATGGTGTTGAGGTTGTGATATTCACCACCCCAGTCGGATTGAACATGAATAATTTTTTGCTTAAGGAGACGCTCAACATGTGTTTGAAACTGAATAAAAACATCGAACACATCAAATTTTCACTTAATAAGATAAAGCCAGGTAAACCGGCTATAAGCATCAATGAAACTGACATAATAATTATGGCCACTAACGGACGTTTGGGCATGACCCCATACATCAAAAAACACAAGCTCAAGAGGATGTTTCACAACACGACTAGACTCTGAAAATGGAAGTTGGTGACTCTTGCCCTGCTGACAGGCATCACAAATTGTTCCAGCGGTTTTATTGGACATAACTGATAGTTCATGACGATGTAGCACATGACGAACTATAGGAGCAGCAGGGTGACCAAGGCGTGCATGCCAATGTGTAGGTGACACACGAACACCACTGAACGCCTGAGGAGAAGACTGCATAGGAGATGTGGGTGGCGCGTCAAGTGCATATAAACCATGGCGAAGACGGCCACTAAGCAGAACGGCCCTCGCGTCCCAATCCTTGGTAAAGAAACGAAAAGGATGAAACTCAGCAAGGACATTATTATCACGGGTAAGTTGAGGAATAGACAACAAACTACGTGTAGCAGTGGAAACTCGAAGAACATTAGAAAGATGCAGTTTACGAAAGTTGTGTGCAAGAAGTGAGGCCTGACCAACATGGAAGATGTGCATACCTGCTCAACACCCTAAACGGGGTATGGCTATCTCATTATATAGAAGTACCAAAGGATACAATACAATTACAAACGTATACAAGGATCTACGTGTATATACAGTCTAGCAATCATGAGTTGAACTGCACACAAGCGCAAGAAAGTGCATACACGGAAGATAGGAACACGATCATCACAGTTAATCCCATTTTGTTCTCTAAAACTCAAGAGGAACTGGTTAATCTCCATTTTCGGAAGATGAACACCAAGATTAATTATTGTAACTTGCTCTCAAGTTACATTAGCGCATAGTTCTATTATGATACAGTATCAAAACCGCTCTTATTCAATGAAAGAGGCCACAGCAGCCCCACACGCGATGAAGAAACAATGGCGGCCTCCTTGCGCAAAATCACATCTTAGCAGCATGTCAGGATAAATCAAGTCTCAGCCGTCCACGAGGTCAAAAGGGCTTTTTTTTATTCTCTCATTAAGCTCCTATGTGCTACATGGTTTACCTGCCCTTTCGAGATTTGCCTCTAGATTTCTCCTTCTTTTCAATTTTTTTTGCCCGATACCCAAGAGCTGCAGCATCAGCAATACCCGAAGAACAATGCTTATAGAGTGCCATCAATTTCCTCCACTCCGGCGATCCTCTGGGCTGGGCGGCCATGTATGCTAGTTCGTGTCTTATTTCCTCCAATTCCGTGAGTGATAAAGATGGCTTTGCTGAAGGTACTGCCTTGGATCCACCAAACATATCCAAGGCTGAATTCAGTGCAGGTGCAGACTGAGCTTCCAAAGCAGGAAAATTAAACAACTTCCTCACAGCGGGTCGACGCATAACTGATAAAAAAATCAAAGTATCACATGTTATGAGCTATTAGACCATCAAACAGAACCTAATGCCTTACAGCAATCGTCGTTGTCTCAGTTCTTAAAGACTCAAACCATACTCACCAATACCATATACAAGTGTGAACAAGTTTGCCGTGATCCAGTAAAAGAAAAATCCCTGGAGAAAGGCAGACCATTAGGAGATTAGGACAATATTGTTGAATACTGTGAAAGTCAATATATCTAGCACACTTGACTAGCTCCTCTAGAAAATACCCATTGGTGAAACATCTCAATACTGTCATACCTTGGCAAAATTCATTGTGAATGGGACTATCATGAGTCCCACTCCTCTATTAAACATCTTCATAATACTGGCAACAGAAGGATGGCCCACTATTCCACACTGCAAGTTGAGCTGACATAACACAATATATTCACCATATTAGACTGCAGTATTGGAAAACAAAGCTGGGCACAGTAAAGTTTTCAAATTCAGAATCGGTGGTTTTAAATTCTGGATGTTCATTAAGAAAAAAGGTGCCATGCAAGCAGAGTAGCCAACTGGATGTAGACATGAATTGCTTGTTTACCTTTCTAAGTTTTATGGAGGCAATATGGTTGGAACAGAAATGGAAGGAAATTCAGGTCCAGATTGTATATGGAAAATGATCACCCCTAAATCCTACAACACTAAGCATACAAGCTAGAAGCAGTGGCACACCAAGTTTAAATGCACAATGATGGACAGATACACAGACACGACAATCACACCAGACAAATTGCATACCTCCACTGTAGCCAAGAAGGTCAGTGATGTTAACACAGGGAGGATGTAAAGAGGATCCGGGGTTGTCAGATCAGTAAACCAAAATACTCCACCTCCTTTCAACGAAGGGACTTTCTCAACCATGTTATTTATCTACAATCAGAAAAAGCAAGGTTAATGATACAGATTTATTTTCTTCAGAAGATAGTACAACATAGAACAATCAGAGGGGCAGAAAGGTGCATTACTCACAGCAAAGAAAAAGATCATGAACATTGGCGATCGGATTATGAGTCCTTTTAATGGAGCATATGGAGTAACACCATAGCTAAAGGAAAAATACCAAAAGTTAGAGGAACTTCACCAAAGAGCAGTATTTCTATACATCATGTACCACATAAAAGAAAAGCTATCTTCACAATGTGTTCAATGGTGAGTAATGTGTTCACAAAATTTTGAACATGAACATTTAACACAAAAATAATTCAAGACTCAAAAACCTGGCTAACATGTTTTTAGACCATGACAGTATACATTAACCAGGAAACATCAGTTGTCATTTTCATTAAAATAAAGACAAGAACAATCTACTGAAGGTTACATACTTCCGAAAGAGTGCGGTCATTTTATATTTCCCCTCTAGCACTGATTTCGGATCCGTACGCTGTATGAAATAAACTTGAAGGGTTAAAGCATGAGCTGTATGAAGTATCTAACTATCAGAAGTTAAATAACTGTTCTCCATGACCCATTCTCCCATAAGTTGGCAATACATAGTACATTCTATACAACAAAACCACAAAATCTCACATCCACTGCACCCCTAATGGCATCCATCTCTGGTTGCATTGCCTGAAAAATGAACAAGTTTGAAAGAAAAAAATAATCAGCTGGTAATTTATAATTTACATGAAGGCAATCATTCATTGCCTAATAAAGTACTACTGTCAAAGAAATAATTGTTCAGAAGACTGGAAGAGTAAAGAACTAAACTAAATACAGTGATAGCATGTGACTCACAAAAGATATCTTATCATCTTATGAATACAAGACCTGTTAAAACCATGGGCCAGGGCATGCTTGAAACAGCCCTACCCAAAAATGCCAATCCCAAGCATAGGGCAGCCCAGCCGAAGCATGTAAACATTTTTTCAATTAAAAAAATTAAATTGATTAATTTAAGTAAGAAAAATAGTGTCTTGTGATCATTTTTCAATGAAGTATTTGTTTCAAAATCATTTCAAGCTTCCAGGCTGAAAAGAAAGCCTGGGGCAGGACCAAGCCGCCGACGGACAGGTATAAAAAGTACATCTACATGATGCATAGAAGGGTTTGCTGATTGGAATGCAGTATTTAAAACCCTACAATGAGTCAAAATTACAAAAGAAAAAAAAACTGATTATCGGTGGTGCAAGGGGCAAGTGTTTTGGACAGGAGGGAGCAGCTGTGCAGCAAATTACATCACCACATGATTTCATGTAGTAAAGATATAAGGTTTCAAGATTGAGTACCGTGATAATGTACCTGGTAACACCCAAAAATCACATAGTGAAGCAGGATTCAGAACTGAACTGGGGAACTACCGAACTATGTGTGCATGAATAACAATAAGTAATATGTACAGTAGAAAAAACACAAATATTTGTATTGCATGTAGATTAACAGCCTCACCACTCTGCTACAACAACTCAACTGCTCATGCGCTGGTCTGGTCATGTAGGGAGGACAGTGGTTGCATGTTCCCCCAATGGCACTACTTAGGCTGCTTTTGGCATTGCGGTGGATTACGATAATCCAGCCGATCCAACCGGCCTTTATCTATTTTGGTGTTTGTTCAACCAACTAATCTCTAGTTCCATGGCTATTTTTCTGGCAGCGGATTATAAAATAAGCACAGTTCAGCAACTTGAAGCAGCCTTACAGTTAGATCAGCATAGGTTTTGACCCACACATACACTAGCACATGAAGCAAACAAAAGGGCTAGAAAATGCACGCTGAATCAGACCATGGGTACTTTACAAGCAAACAAAAGGGCTAGAAATGCACGCTGAATTAGACGGAGGGCACTTTACCTGTATCATCTCGCTGGACTTCTGCTGGCTAACCGCGAATGGTATCACCGCGGTCCGGATCAGCACCGTCGTTAACGCGATAGAAGCCCACCTGAGCAAACCAAATCCCACATGAGAGGCGGATATGAGCAAACCAAGCACACGACCCAAAGAAACGGATCGCGAAGCTTACCAGTTGAGCCCGGTGAAGGTATGTATGGTATCAATGAGGTGCTGCAGCGCGGCGAAGGGGAAGAAGGAGTCGGCGGCGGCGGCTGCCACCTCCCCCGGGAACGGCGCTGGCGCCGACGAAGCCACGGCGTCGACAAGGACGCTCGCAGCAGCATCAACCTCTCCGGGTGGGTCCGGGGCAGGGGCGGAGGAGGAGAAGCTACGGCGGGGTAGCCCCGAGTGGTGGAGGGAGAAGGGGAAGAGGTGGTGTAGGGCTTGGGCCGCTCTGGAAGCGGGTGGGAGCGGGGAGCGGAGTGACGGGAGTGGCAGTGGCGGTGGCAGTGGCTGAGATGGGGGGTCATCGTCGTTGGAGCGGGAGAGCAGATGCGGGACGGATGGGTGGAGGCGGCGGGTGAGGTGGTGGGAGAAGCGGGAGGCGAGGCTCCTCCGCGCAGCGAACGCCATGAGCCGGTGGGGTGGGAGGCGACGCTCGGAGAGGAGGGCGGCGGAGCCGAGACGACGGCCGGAGGAATGGGGTGACTCAGAACTATACCTGGCCAAACGGGCCGGCACGATAGCCCGCGTGCCAGGCCCGGCACGGCACGTGACTTACTGGGCCGTGCCTGGCACGTGGCCCGGCTAGGGCCGTGCCTGGGCTCCCTTGCCTAGCACGCGTGCCAGCCCGGCACGGCACGACTAGCGAGCGGGGACAAACGCCTCATACGATCGACATGCAAGACTAGCTCCCTCAAAAAAGGAAAAAAAAGACATGCAAGACTAGCGAACGAGGGCTTTTGTCGAAAAAAAGGACTAGCGAGCGGTGGGAGGAGCGCCTCCTACGATCAATCGATTAAAAAAATCATGCGCTAGTGCGCTACTGCTACGAGACAACGAGCATCCTCATCCGTGCGCGAACGACGGCATTTCCTATTCGGCGCTGCAGGCGCCGATTAAGGCAATTTTCCTAACCGGCGCCTGCAGCCGTGTTAGGTGGGCTGGTCCATTTATCTGTTTCAGACTGCAGTAGTTTTTCTTCTTTTTATGTTTTCAAAAGAGAAAAACAAGTGCGCTTGCGGCGTCACGCAATGAATTAACCACCACGCCTCTCAACCACGTTTGATATTTTCAACTTTGTTATTCTTTTATTATTTCTACTGTTACTTTCCTTTATTTTCCTGGTTTGATGAACTTTTTCTGCGAAATTGATTAACTTTTCTTTAAAACTTGATGAATTATTTTTCAAATTTCAATGAACTTTTTAAATTTTGATGAACCTTTTTCATATTCGTTGAACTTTTTTCAAATTTGATAAACTTTTTTCTAATTCAATGAACTATTATCAAAATCCGTGAACTTTTATGAAAATCGATGAACTTTTTTCAAAATTAATGAACTTTATTTCAATATCGATGAACTTTTTTCAATTTTCTTGAACTATTTTGTATTTGTGAACTTTTTCAAAATTTTCATGAACTTGTTTTATCCGTGAACGTTTTTCAAACTGGTGAACTTTTTTAAATTCATTAACTTTTCTGAAATTAGTGAACTGTTTCTAATTTATGAACTTTTTTTAATTCTCGTAAGCTTTTGTCAACTTGCTAACCACCTAGGACAACACACATCCTTTGCTAAGTTTCTCCCATTTTCCCTTTTTGTTCATTCTTTCTTTGTCTTTTTTCTCTTTCTTGTTTGCATTTTCTATATTTTTCTCTTTCTTATCCTTTTCTGTTTCTTTCTTTTGTTTTCTTTAATGCGTTCTTTTTTCTAAATTCGTGATTTTTTTCTAAATTGATCAAAAAATCAAATTCGATGAACTCCTTTCAAATTTGGTGAACTTTTTTCAAATTTGAAGAACTCTTTTCAACTTCAATGAATTTTTCCCAAAATCTATGAACTTTTTTTCAAAATCTATGGTTTTTGAAAAAAATTTGATGAACTCTTTTTCAAATCCGATGAACTTTTTTTGAAAGGTTGGTGAACTTTTTGGAAATTCCATGAACTTTTTCTAAATTCAGTGAACTCCTTCTCAAATTCGATGAACTTTTTTCAATTTCATGAATTTTTTTGAATCCGTCTACTGTTTTGAATACGTGAAATTTTTTTCTAATTCGTGATGTTTTTTAAATCTGTGGACATTGAAGTTTTGTTCACGTTTATGCTTGAAAAGAAATCAAGTTTTCCTAAATAGCACGGCAACTATTGTGTTCATTATATGTACGCGCACCATTTTTGACAAATGGTCGTTGTGCCACAAGTGGTCAGCCGAGCGCGCTCTGATCTGAATGTCTCCGGTTCGATTCCTTGCGGCAGCCAATTGTGTGATGTTTTTCTCGCGCTATTACTTTTTGCGCTGCTGTTCCTGGGCCGGCCCACTGGCGTGCCGCAGTGAGTGCCAGTTGGCTCATCTGGCGCCTGAAGCGCTGACTAGGACGTCCCGCGAACGACGCTGCTGCGATCCTGCCTTCTCGCGTGCCCATTTGTCCAGGTTTGCTCAGAACTCGAGCGTGGGCTTTCCGCCTCCAGGTGTTGTTTGTTCTGGTCTTTCGGTACAGCGTAGTGGGCCAGATGCCGCCGTGGTCAATCCCCTTCCCCGCGGCGACTATTTATCGCGTTAAGCCACGTTAAAAGTTTCTCTTGCTAAAGCATCTGCAGCTAACTACCCCTTAAAAAATATGTAGCTAACTGGCCGCGCGGGGATCAATCCTACGATCTGCTGGTTGCTACGCAACAGTGTTGCCACTGAGCTAACAACAGCTTTGTGTTCAACAAGCAGGCTGTGTTTTTTGTTTTTTTCTGTTTTCTCCTTTTTTGTTTTCTTTTGTTTTTTGTTTGGTTTTCTTATTTCTTCTTCGGTTTTCGTTGTTTCGTTGTTATACTTTGGTTTTTTATTGTTCTTTGTTTTGATTTTTTATTGTCTTTATCCATATTTCTTTTCTTTCTCCTTTGTCTTTGGTTTTTTTATTTCTCTTTTTTCTCCACTTCTCTTTGTTTTCTTTCTCTCTTTTGTGTTTTTTTCTTCGTTTTTTTCTTTTTGTTGTGGTTTAATCATCATTTTTTCTACACATTTGTAACATTTTTTAACACATGTTCAACATGTTCTGTATGCTTTTTTATATTTTTTTTTAAAATTGTTGATTAATAGTTTTCAAATAAAAAAATTGACACTTTTTGAATACATGGTCAAATGCACGCAATTCAACCATGGCTCCCACCCCTCCGGTGACTCTGGCGATCCCACGGCACCAAGGCACCGATCTCATATGATCTTCCTCTACCCTCTCTAGGGAACCAACCTGGACCCCACGCCAGGTGTTGGCATCGCCGCCAAGGTTAGAGCCCGTTTTGCATCTCCTGGTCATTGCCTTAGCCCCCATACCGCCTTCCATCTTCTAGTTTCTGTTGGCAGATCATCTTTCCCCCTATCGATTTATAATGTAGGGCATGCCTCGGAGGTGACCTGATTGGATTTCATGTTTCACATAATAGAGGATCGGTTTTTAAATTCTCAATCGACTTCAAAGCAGTTGGTTTCTTGGTTTACAACCTCAGATCTTTCTCTTGCCTTTCTTTCCGCTGCTTTTTCCACCTATGTGGTTTTCACGGTCCACTATGGAAACGTGAACACTTCCTTTGGTTGCGGGAAGAGGATCAATCACGGATGACTGACTCTCCTCGCAAACGCAGCGGCGACCTCACCGGTGCAAACGCTACCCTGATTGGCCCTCAGATCTTTCCCAACATTGTCATGTGTAAGTACATCGAAAGACATGTTAACCACAACAGGCAAAACATCAACCAAATATATCCATGGCAGACAACATAACCTCCAAATGATAGCTTCAATGTGCAGGTTTAAACACACTAGTTAAGAAAAATAAGAAGTGTAAAGTTGTGTTAACTGCAACAGGCCTAGCATTTAACAACAACCAAATATAGTCATTCAAACTGGTATTGTGCATGTTTAAGTACACTAATTATTGTTAAATAAAAACGGAAAGGCATGTTAACTACAACACACTTAACAACAACCAAAACTAGTCATTCATAATGGTATTGTTGAAACTGGTATTGATAAAATTGAACTGCACAATTCATACTTGCACATATAGAACATCACATTACGAATGACTGAAATAAATAAGGTGTTAGGGAACGTAGTAATTTCAAAAAAATTCCTACGTACACGCAAGATCATGGTGATGGCATAGCAACGAGAGGGGAGAGTGTTGTCAACGTACCCTCGTAGACCGTAAGCGGAAGCGTTATGACAACGCAGTTGATGTAGTTGTACGTCTTCACGATCCGACCGATCCAAGTACCGAACGTACGGCACCTCCGAGTTCAGCACACGTTCAGCTCGATGACGATCCCCGGGCTCCGATCCAGCAAAGCTACGGGGATGAGTTCCGTCAGCACGACGGCGTGGTGACGATGATGATGCTCTACCGGCGCAGGGCTTCGCCTAAACTCCGCGACGATATGACCGAGGTAGAATATGGTGGAGGGGGGCACCGCACACGGCTAAGGAACGATCTGTAGATCAACTTCTGTTGTCCCTAGAGGTGCCCCCCTGCCCCCGTATATAAAGGAGCAAGGGGGAGGGGGCGGCCGGCCTAGGAGGGGCGCGCCAAGGGGAGTCCTACTCCCACCGGGAGTAGGACTCCCTCCTTCCTTGTTGGAGTAGGAGAAGGGGGAAAGAGGGGGAGAGGAGGAAGGAAAAGGGGGCCGCACCCCTTGTCCAATTCGGACCAGAGGGGGGCTGCGCGCCTCCTTCCTTTCGGCCTCTCTCCTCTATTCCCGTATGGCCCAATAAGGCCCATATACTCCCCGGCGAATTCCCGTAACTCTCCGGTACTCCGAAAAATACCCGAATCACTCGGAACCTTTCCGAAGTCCGAATATAGTCGTCCAATATATCGATCTTTACGTCTCGACCATTTCGAGACTCCTCGTCATGTCCCCGGTCTCATCCGGGACTCCGAACTCCTTCGGTACATCAAAACTCATAAACTCATAATATAACTGTCATCGAAATCTTAAGCGTGCGGACCCTACGGGTTCGAGAACTATGTAGACATGACCTAGAACTATTCTCGGTCAATAACCAATAGCGGAACTTGGATGCCCATATTGGTTCCTACATATTCTACGAAGATCTTTATCGGTCAAATCGCATAACAACATACGTTGTTCCCTTTGTCATCGGTATGTTACTTGCCCGAGATTTGATCGTCGGTATCCAATACCTAGTTCAATCTCGTTACTGGAAAGTCTCTTTACTCGTTACGTAATGCATCATCCCGTAACCAACTCATTGGTCACATTGCTTGCAAGGCTTATAGTGATGTGCATTACCGAGAGGGCCCAGAGATACCTCTCCGACAATCGGAGTGACAAAACCTAATCTCGAAATACGCCAACTCAACATGTACCTTCGGAGACACCTGTAGTACTCCTTTATAATC